CCCGCCAGCCAACTTAAACCCCGAGCTGAAGGCCTTAGCTGCTATGGCTCTAAGTCCATCGTTTGCTCTTAGTTTAACACTAAATATTAGCTTTAGATAAAGAAATAAATAAATACTCCATCAAACAAATTAATTACATCGGGAAATTGTGATTAATGTTATTATTATTATAGAGTTCCTTTACACTATTTTGGGAAGTATTGCGTAACACTTAGAACAAAAAGAGTTTTGGAGCGGCGTTCATCAAATTTATGTGAACATAATCCACATATCCTAACCCCATCACCATAATAGCTAACCCCTCAAATTCAAACTCACAAAACAACCTAATGTTCCTAAACAGTGCAAAAATCAGATACAAAATATGAAATTGCATCATTGTAAATACAACCTAAATTAAAAACAGTTATAAATATTACATTTTGTAAATATATATGTATTATAGTAATATAAAGTTATATTTTAGTAATCCCACCAGCCAACTCAAACCTCGAGCCGAAGCCCTTAGCTGCTATGGCTCTAAATCCCACTGTTAGCTCTTAGCTTAACCGTAATTATTAGCTTTAGATAAACAAATAAATAAATACTAGATCAAACAATTTAATCTCATCGGGAAAATATGATTATTGTTGTTTGATTCTAGAGTTCCTATACACTATTTTGGGAAGTATTGGGTAACATCAGTTAACCCTGAAAGATCCCATATTTTAAAGCTCAGTAAAAAAACAGAGAATTAATGGTTTCATCAGTCCAGTGTTGAAGAAGAACTACATTAGGTGTAAGATGAAAGAACTGTACGCCTCTTCTGAGAAATCTAAATAGTTGCTGCATGCTGCCCACTGATTATGCCGCACTTTACAAAGCAACACCTCCGTACCTCTATGATTGACCTATGATTATTGCCTGCGTGCGTATCTAACAGCAACACCAAAAGCACGGCAGCAACACCAAAAGCACGACAGCAACACCAAGAGCACGGCAGCAACACCAAGAGCACCGCAGCAACACCATCGAATCCGGCAGCCTCATCGCGTGCAAGGTGTGAGCTCGTGCTCGGGTAATGATGATGATAGCTTTTTGATGCTAATGATAGACAACCGGGCCCCCAGTTCTATGCGCAGGCTGTAATTCCGATCGGAAGTCGCGCAATTGCACACAGCCTGAAAGTGAAATTTTGCTGGCGGAGGGGAGGGAAAATTGTTTGTCTATGTTTGGCGATAATCGTGCAATCAATTAAGGTTAATTGCTATTTAATGCAATCGGTCGGATCTGCATGAGAGCCGCAACACACAACTCGCAGCGATTATGCAAAATCGAAGATGAACAGTTAGTTTCCCGAACTCGCGAAGATCGGCGGCAATTTTGGGACCTTCGTGATTAGGGCCAATTTCGATTATCGCCAACAAAATTGCAGTAGCCGCCAATCGATCGGCAGACAAAAAATTTTGATATTCTAATTTCTCCTCGCTGCCGCATTATGATTTGCAATTTGAAGTTATTGGAGCTACTGGCTTTTGCCCGCGGCGGCCTCACATGCAAATTGATCTCCATTTTGCGGCAATTTGGCGCTTCTAACGGTAATGCGTTCGGGCCAAGTTCACTGAATCGGCTCATTGGTAGCTGGAAATGTGTGTTTATCTGTCTGGCCCATTTGCATATACCTAACAACTTGGGGAGACTGGACATGAAATCGCGAAGACGTTCTCAAGGTTAATCGTTGACCGGGGAACTTTGATTAAAGCATATAATAATTCGGTTGGTTGTTTGCTGTGAATTGAGATATTTTTATGATAACTCTTAGATTTATAATTTTGTAGCTTTGTAATTTAATTTAAATGAAATAATACAAACAAAACAATTTTCTGTATAATTCAATAATTGTATCTTTTCAAACCGCAGATGGTTCTAAAATACATTAAAATTGATTACGTATCATAAATACTCTCACTTATGTGTTAGCTTCATCCATTATACGTAATTAAACAGCCCTTAACGACAACCCTTTTAAAACCCAAATGACAATGACTTTCGAAAAAAGGCAGCGCTTTTAAAGTGCCCACAATTTGATGAGTAATTAATGTCAAAATTTGCGGAGTGCGACCTTATCGACGGGGACATCTATCTCGCATCCCCATATCAGCTCGCTCCAGATCTCGGAGGATGATACTCGTGCCTAACTGAAAGCAGCTGTCAGGACGGCAATTAAACTGTCATCAGTTGCACAAAATTTTGAACATTTCGAAATTTTGAAATTTGATTTTAATTGGCCAAAGACAAAGTGCCAAAGAGTGTGGGCAGCTGTCACTGCAATGTGACGAGTGTCAGAACCCTTGGAACCCTTAGAACCCCTAGCACCCTGCTGCTCCGCAAACCGCCAAAACTAATTTCCTCATTGGCGGTTGCGCCATTTTGCCACTTAACGCATCATCACTTTGGCTAATTTGTTGCCATTTGCCGTTGGCCCCGCGAACTGATTGCCTCATCGATCTGCCATGACCTTGGTGGGGCTAATGATGCAGCCGCAACCTGCGGACCACTGATGGAGCTGTAAATTTGCAACACAAATGCAAACAGCGAACAGTAAACGCTCGGCGATTGCAATCAGCGGCGCCGCATCTCTATCACATGGCATCTGGCGGAGAAACTTGCATCATTACCGATGACTCGGATTGGGGTTCGTTGCAGCATCCTGGACTTGCCGCGTTTTACGCGCTTCAATGATTTGCTTGTGGTCTCTGCCTCTGGATCCCAGTTCGTATTTCAGCCGCGGACCCGATCTGCCCGATTAAACGTATGCAACTCTTAACCTTCGTTTAAATCTGCTCTGATTGACAACATCAATCGCCGCAACGGAGCAGCAAAACGTTGCAAGATCAATATGCAGATGCAGATACAAGTTCGGGCAGATACACAGCCGTTTCTGCTGCATCGGTTGTCATTGTTGTAACTAAATTTGTTTTGCGGTTCGGCAAGTGTTTATATGTTTGTTTATTTATCTTCTTTTACAATTGTGCACATGGGAAAATATGAGCCAAATTGTAAGGAGTATTTGAATGGGCATTTCATATATGGTTTACTTTGGTATTTTTTACTTTATCAGCATGGTATTCCAGTTAAGTTTATAAAAAAAATATTTATAGTTTTGACTATATTTCTTTGTGCTTTTTATTTTATCTTTCCATTTTGGTTACGTCCTCTTTAAAGTTTAAAAGACAGAGAACCATAATAAACTGGGATTCAATGAAATCCAGGTTAGAATTAATTATAATAATTTATTGATTTTCGCTGCGTGAGAAGCTTAGTAAAATATGGAGACCTGTCTTTTGATTGATGTATAATAAAAGATTTTTCCTATAATTTTGAGCTTACAACTCACAGCGAATTGAAAACTTTCCATTAGCATTTACCACGGCGTTCAACATACAATTTCAGCACGTTTAAGCACACTTAATTACCAGAACCACCCAGAAGCGGCTACCGTCGATGCCTAACACAAATCACCGACTTTAATGCGACAGGCCATTCTGGCTAGGTCCGCAGGTACAAAATTGACATGACAACGGCAATACTTCAATGGTCCTCCGCTCCTCCCTGCCGCCAATATCCCGCGGACCGGGCTCAACGGCAGGAGCCAGACATACTCGTATTTTTGGTGTTAAAATGGATATAGCTGCATTTTATTATGATTATTATGATTTTCGTCAGGCGGCGGGCACCGCGCACCGGGAAAAAAGTACAAATCATTGACGAGTGAGCGGCACTAAACTCATCAGCGGAGGAAGCGCTGGAAGGGGCATGCCGTTCGGAGGAAGAAGTGCCGGCCGATGTAGATGGAGATGGAGATGAAGATGGCCAAGAAGTAACCGGTAGCAACGGTAGCCGATCGCCGATGCCAAGTGCTAGTAAGCCGCGTTAATGGCCTGGCCAACTGCGGAAAGGGGCGAGGTGGCTGAGAGGAGAAATACCCCTGGATGGGGGCTCAATGAGAATTCCGTGCATTTGCAATCGCACTTGGCCAGCGACTACGTCCGGTCGCCGATGGGTCAGGAGCCGACGAAGACTCCAGATGTGTGCTACAGTGGATGCTGCAGGTACTGACAGAAGAATCTCTTGATGTTAAATACCCGACTTTATTCTTCAAAATAGTGACGTAGTTTAACCAGCTTTATAAATTAACCTATAGGCTTATTTCTAACCAAAGGTTTATTTCTAAAGAAATGCTGAGGGTCAATATAAAGACCTTTTTTGTTAGATTAGATTCATTAGATGCTTTAAGTTATTTGCAATTGTAAGAAAATCGGAATTCTTTTCATTGTCATTTAAGATTTGAAAATATAAGTACCATCAGCTAACTACAAGATAAACGTTATATTAAGACATCGCGAAGAAAGCAATTTGATTTATTAAATCCTTAAACATATTTATCACTTGGTATATTAATAAATGTACCCCCTAAGGAAGAAATTTGTAGATATATACATTAGGTACTTACTGTTCCTTAAAATTTGTAATCTCACGACGAGCCAAAGGCCTATGATGCTATAGCTTAAATTAACCAAAATTAGCATTTCTGAAAACAAATATTTCAACCACCTTTGCATTTACAAAAACAGCTTAATAAAACGGACACAGAGAAAAAATTCGAATATGATTTAAGTTTTTAACGGGTTATAAAAAAAAACTATATTTTATAAAAGTATTTAAGATATACTCTAGTGGGTTTATCGATCCATGATACATTATACCTTAACGAAATTAAGGTAAGCTTGCTCGGTTTTTTCGGCATTAGGATGATTCCATTCCCGTGGGCACCCACTGTGGCAGACCGCTTCTGTTTGCCGCTGATGACGACGTTGAAATCTTTAACGCGTTCTGCGCTTGGCATGATCATTATCGCTGGTTTCGTTTTGCGCAACTGCTTCTCAACTCATTTGGCGTTGGTCCCACTGCAACTGCGGCAGAGCATCGGCAGCAGCAGCAGCAGCAGCAATTGCAGCAGTCGGGCAGTCGGTTTTCGGTGATCCATCAATTGGACTCCTACTCGGGCAGTGTCCAAATGCAACTTCTGGCCATGATGTATGCTCATTGCACCCAGCTCCTCGCGGAGTGGGGACCATGGTCTTTTCTGGTCCGCTCCGTTCTTTGTTGGGCAATTTGATTTGCTACCATTTGGAAGACAAGTTGGCGGCTCCTGATTACTTGTTGTGGTGGCATCAAAAACAAATAAAAGCTTAAATTGTTTTCGGATCATAAAGCAAAAAGGGTTTAACCCATTGATTGTCTGTTGATTGCCATTTATGGCCCCCTTTCGGCGGTCGAGGATGTCTTTGTAGCGCAAGTGGATCTGGGTGGTTTCCGCTGGCTTTCCTGTTTTTGGCGGTTTTACAACTTCACAGTTATGATTGGGCTAATGAGTGTAGAAAGGCAGTATCTCAAATTGTGCAGGAAGATCGCCCAGTAATTTGCGGTAGTAATTGTGTGAAACGAGTTGCGGATTCACACATTTAACGGAAATGCACAGCGGAAAAAGGTTTCAATTGTCATGTTAAAGAAAGTCAGAAACTACAAAATCTTTTTACTCTAAAATTAAAAACAATAAAGTGTTCCACAAATGGACATAATATTAAAAGCATTTCATGAGCCTAATTATTAAAATTTGACGACTCTGCATAATCCTCCAAAAAATGTTACTTAAAAACCCATGGAAAGTATGGGAGAAAAGTCGTCGTTGGTTTTATTTCCTAAATCTGTATCAGAAATGGATAGACATATAATCAGTAGAGATCATACACATAAAATTATAAGAACATTTATTTATTGTTGTTTTAGTTTATAAAGAGATAGAGAGCTTCCCAAAAATATGTTTATTATGTGACCGTATAGATTACGTATACGACTCAGTCTCGACCGTTTGTAAGTGCAGCATGATGAAGACTGGCCGGCCACGACGTTTACGAGCCATAAACTCCGAGCTTACAATGTAACCGGCCACAGCTACAACTAATTGGGTCAAAACGCGTCTGCGAGGGTTCGAACAACACCTGTTGGCAGGTGGGCACCGCGCTGAAGTGACCGCAATGACGTTTCACTCAGGGCTCGGGCGCTGCATTTGCAATGCACAAATAAATAAATACATTTTTGACAGAAAGATGACGCGAGATGATGACAATAGAAGTGATGACATGGCCGATACTGAGCCCCTTCCTCTTCCCCGGGCATTGGCCATTTGGCCGGGTCTACTCACCACCTGAAAAGACGTCCGGGGCGCACCTTTAGCTGCACCTAATTGTGCCCTGTCTCTCCGTTTTCGGGACACCAACATGGCTCAGAGCTCAGAGCAGCCTTTCTGGCAGCAGTTTCCACTGGCAAATGGCATAAATTTAAATTTTAATTTACTGCCTCGTCAATTGAAGTCGTGCCCGGGCACTTGGAACCCGTCCCAGGTACGCGGTTAGCCGGGTCTGCTATTTTATTTCATTTCATTTATTTATTTTGAGCTACTTGCAAAATAATTGCATAAATAAATATTTTAAAAAAGGTACCCAGCCCGATCTCACGCACACTCGCCTCGCTCCTCTCCCCTTAATTTGTTGTATTTTGATTACAATCGTTCGTCCGGCTGGAGCTGAGCAGATGTGGCAGTCGAGTTGGCCAGGAGCTCCTCACCCGCAGATTGAAGCGAAGTGATTGCCTTTGCCTCCGCCAAAGCCGAGACGTTTGAACCTGTCCAGCGGACTGGCCCAGATCTCCTCGGACTGGGACAATTTATCAATGAAACGATGGATTCCAGATGCGAGAGCCCCGGCGCTGGTGGTGACATGAATTACGCGAATGTAAATTTCGACTTAGATACACAACATACAAACATCGCAAATTGGATCGAACAGAGTGCAATATCCTTACTTTTGTTTTAAATATTATTTTACTGCAGTATTATTATTATTATTTTTGGCTACTCTTAGAGTTGGTCATCGGATTGACTGTAACAACTTATTAAAATTTATGTAATTTGAATTTAAATTGGTTTTCTTGTACTTGAGTAAAAATTTTGATAGAATCTAACAAATCCTGCGAAGAAAGTGCTATAAAGTACACATATTGCAATCTTTATATCGATTTTCGCACGAATTCCAAGTCTGAAGATGGTAAGCTACCTACTGGCAAGACGAGCATGGGTATTCCTTTAAAAATTTATACCCGTCTTATTTCAGTAATCTTCTATAAGTTTTCTATGAATAAATCAAAAAGTACATTTTTTGTAAACATAAAAAAACAATCTCTAATCCATAATGACTTTTAGAAGAGCATCATGTGTTTTACATACCGAAATACCTACGTCCCTTTATTATTAGCATCTTTAAATTAATTCTTAATTCCACATGAACTCGTCACATACAAAAACACGACACATTATGCAAAGTCCTTAAGAATATTTACCTATCTTTTTATTTCTTCCAATTTCACAGGAGCGCCATAATATACAATAACAACTTAATCTCCCAGTCTCACAAAAACCGAATCTGACCCCCACGAACATATACAAAGAAGGCGACAGCGAGTTGACATATGCACACACGATTAACAAGTGTTTAAATCACAATAAAACTTTAAGTCCCCGCAGATAAAGCAATAAAACCATAAAAAAAGTCCAAGAAAAGAAAATCCAAAATAAACGAACTCGATTCCTGATTGTCTGTCATTGGCTTCTGGGACGAAGGCATGCAAAAAACTTTGCTGCCAACAGAAGGAATACGGAAAAAATACAAAACTTACGCACCCAAAAATTGGTCAATAAAATCATCGACAAAACTTTTGTTTAGCCGAGTACAAAGGACACCCAGTCGCAAGGGCAAGGAGATGAAATCGGGGAGGAAGGCAGAAAAAATAACTTTTTTTGCGGGGCGTGTGCGCTGGGCCAGTGGACAAAAAACATTCCCAGGGCAATAAAAATGACAACAGTTACAAAGTGGCAGCGGGAGACACGACTACTGGCCAAGAACAACGCAGACGCTGGCTCACACGCACACTGAGCCGCAGATTAAGCCAATTTAACAGATGCTTAAAGTCAGAACACTCGTAATCACATATCGGATTAACGCTGCCTAGTGCGGGCTCCACTGCAGCTTGAGGTCGGAAACGCAGGGAGCGTCCCACAAGTGACTCACTTGCATCGGAAGAATGATTGGATATGGGGAATACCCTTCATTAGATGTTTATATTATATTCCTATTGAAGGAAGAAGAACGATTGTATAAAAAATATTAGGTATGAAATTTGGGAAATAAATATTGTCGCGAATTGAAACGGGATATTTCAAATGGGATATTTTTTCAATCAAGCTATTCGCATAAATACAGAACATTTTTACACTGTATATTTAATTTTTTCTTCGAAAATTAACAAGTGTTTTTTATTTCTCAGTTCCATTTATACTAAAAGAGATGGACTTATTAAACGAAATATTTCATAGAGTTTTTGTATGCATAATTTTTTCCATAAAATGCTTGTGGCTTAAGTTTTTTGTATTGAGCCTTCTAAATTAAACATCGTTTAAAATGTATTTATCAAAAGTAAAAACGAAGTCGACAAAATGTAATTTTAAACCGTATTTAAAAATATATTTTATAATTTCAATTAAATATTAATTGAGTTTGAATACTATTCGTATAGTTTTAAAATCAAACATTTGTGTTAATATGACACCTCCTATTGTAATATACCTAATATTTCAAAACTTAGACGCAGTCAACAACAATATTTTCAGTCCTAGTTTCATCAGCACATATATACTCGTAAATAGTTTCCGAACCCAAGGACTCTACTTTAAAAAGCGTATCCCTTAGTCGGCAGAGCTTTACCGAAACAGGCTCTTCAAATTTATTTGGTTGACATTTGCGGGCTACCGAATACGCGATCCTCTTCTGATTTCTGACTTCTGCCGCCGCCAATGCCATCCTCCTTGCATTTATTTCACTTTTATTTTCCCGTTTTTTCCCGTACTTTTTTCATTTCAAAATCGCGGCATAAATTCCCAAATATATCCACAGCGTGGTCTTGGCTCAGCACATTTTTGGGTCTTTTTCAGTTCTTTTTTTTTCAGGGTCCACAGCTACTTTGTCTTTGCCGTTGCCTGCCATGGGGCAAATCCTTTAGACGACGTCGCATGTTTGCCTTTTTTTGGCACTTTGTGTTCATATGATTTTATTTTTTCCTGCCCATTTGCGGCGTTTTGATATGTTACCCGGTAGCCGTGGAGCCCTGCTCTTTTTTTCCGGCTTGGTGTTGGTGTATTGCCTGCGGTTATGGCTGCAAAGGACCCTTGCCCACACCCATTACCCATACGATTCTCGTACCGAAATGAGCCACTTAAAGCGATGAGATTTTTGGCGTCTGACGGCGACGTCGGCGGCGTTTATCAAATAAATATCTTTGAAATATATAACAAATAATGAAATGCTGTCGCAGTCTGGATCAACGAGCCCGAATTGGTGTTATTAATTGCGGGCAATTGATTTGATTTGGTCGTTGGGAGATGGAAATCCCATGCATCATCCTTAAAGATCATCTAATGCTATCGCCCCTGTAAGGACCACACAGCATCATTAGCAGGACTGACCAGACATCTGAGGTCCGGGGACCGAATTAATTGAAACATTACCTAAGCAAACGTTGCCCAAACGGTGAAACCAACCCGAAAGTTCTCAGGCTAATTGAATTTCCCGTGTCCTTCCGCCTGCCACCGCCCCTCGTCCTTCTGTGTGTTTGAGTCCTAGAAAAATGAATGTCTCGCATTTTAAGTGCCGCCTGTGGTCGCTGCTTGTTTGTTTTTTTTATGGGCCTTTGTTGGTCTGTGTTTTCACGCATAAAAATTAAAGTCCAAAGCTTTTGTTTGTATGGTTTTCCCCACAAGTTCAGAACCCTCTTTACCAAGTTCCTTCCCCCAACAATTGGCTTTTGTTGCAAATGTTGCTATCATTAGTCGGCCGGCTACTTAACACGACATTGATGTGGCTTAATTATGCCAACGATGATATAGGTGAAGCACAGAAAGAGAGATCCCAAGGGGTCGTCATGGGAATAGAACAGATAGAAATGCATTTAGTTTATAAAACAATGTTTAACTTAAGTTAAAGTAGTTATCATTGATAAATAGGTTTATAATATTTGTATAAATATCGATTTTATTGAGGTGAGTGCTTTAGTAAATCTAAAAGATATATTAGAGCACCCAACACTACGCCCCTGCCTTAAACCAAAGACCTCTTTAATTGGGGAACACTGTGGCCGAGTGGAAACTTTTGCTCCCACACGAGGTGGGAGCGTGGTAATTCATTAAAACCGAAACTGGCAAGAACAGCTCTATAAACATTTTGGCCTTGCTGATGAGCCGCCCCAGAAAGGCCGCACCACCGCCAGAAAGCCGTTAATGATGTGCCCCACGGCAGACGATTGTGATTGCTAATGTCCCTGAAATGGGTGGATAGATGGATGGAATCCACGGAAGACAGGGCAGATGGACAGCTTGGAATGGCTTTGCCCGGTTGACATTCGCTAGCGGTTCAAGTGGCGCTGTGCATCTCAATCTCAATCTCGAGATTGACTAATGGAGGACGAGCAGGACGTGTTGATTGATTGTTTTTCCATGTAAATCGCAGGACGAATTAATCAATGCTAATGACACTTTTCCACTGAGCTGCAGCCATCCAGAAACTGCGTCAAACGGAAACGTCTAGCCGAAAAGAAAAAAGAAAAAGGATGTCCATGCTACAATTCTACAAATTGCATTTTAAGCGGATTTATGTCCACACTGCGTTTTTTTACAAAAGGATTTGCTGTCTCTTGAATCTCTACCTCGAATGGAAGATAACCTTGATTTACGTTTGTCTTGTGTGCGTTAATTACCCATAAGATACTTATGCTCATTAAAGCATAGATACGGATACGCACTGCCAGGAGAAGTTTCGTATCTTAATCAGGATTTTATGCTAATGTGTCGCAGCGTCTTGTAACTGCCAGATTACAAGATACCGAACGGCGACAACTCAACTCTTGCCAACTCGAACGCATATCCCCTAGATACACTCGAGCAGAACTGCCAGTTTAGCCAATTTTAGACTGTATTTCTTTAATAAAATACGTATAAGCAACGAGTAATCACGTGAAAAAATATAAAATTTGTGTAATTTTTGAAGTTTTACCTAACGTTATAAATGCCTTCTCAGAAGTCCTAGGATACACCATTTATTAACATTTATTTCTAGCTACCTAGGTAATTTTTAAAAAATCTATAATTTTCAAATATTGTCAATAGCTATATATCTTAAATTATTGTTCAAAATAAAACACAGAGTCAAAAATAAAACACTGTCCTTGCTTTGAAGTGGTTATTTTTGGAGATCAATATATTATATATACATACTGGCAAATTGGAAAAAGTGATTGTGAACTATTTTAAGCTTTTCGAAAATCTAAAGTTTTCAACACTGCAAGGGGCTCATACCATTTTTAATTACAGGACAACCGCACGGCGTTGGTTTACGCCCACTTGGCTACTCGCTTTTTTGGGCCGTGTCAACCCTTTTGCGGCTCTTGTTCCTTGAATTTGTTGTCCTTGCCGTTTGCCATTTAGCATTCAACGTTTAACATTTCGCAGCTACACCGGTTCCCGTTGCGAATTTGTTTGCTGGCCGTCCGCTGCATGCAAGGGTTGCTTTGTCTCGCGTCCATTGCACTTTGGCTCGAAGGCAGGCGACTTACCAGTACATCTATAATTACGTCACCTTGCCGTGGCAGTCATGGCCCGACAACTTGGGCGGTGCCCCGAGCTGCTGAAGACCTTTAAGACCTCGCCTTTAAGACGTACCATGGGTAGGACATGTCCTGTAATATTGACCACAGCTGAGGACAAACGGACCACCCACATGTCCCTGCAATAAGCTGATTTTATGCACAGAAAAAATTAATATTAAGGACTCAAGGAAAGTATACTACTTTTTTGTTTAAGGTATACCTTCTCTGAAAAAATTGTTATATATACTCGTATGTATAGCTTAATGAAAACGTTTTCTATGAGATAATGTTTGCTTACAGCATCAAGAATTTAAGAATTTGCTTTATTTCGACAATCTGGTCAATTTGTATTCCCCGTACTCGTAGATTAATAAAGTATATTAGATTCGTCGGAAAATATGTAAGAGGCAGAAGGAAGCGTTACCGACCTTATAAAGTATATATATTCTTGAACACGATCAATAGGCCGTATGAACGCTGAAATCTCAGAAACCATAAAAGCTAGAAAGTTTGGATAAGCATGTAGATTCTACAGAATTCTGCGCAGCGCAAGTTTGTTTCAAAAGGGTGCCGCGCCCACTCTAACGCCCGCAGTTTTAAGAAAACATAGTGTACGATCTTGGGAACCTTGCTTTCTTCTTAGCTGAGGGTATCTGATAGTCGATGGCATCGACTACAGCGTTCTCTCTTGTTTTATATTTTATGTAAAACCTTTACAGAGGTGTCTCAAAACGTTCTTTTAACCAAAATTAAAGTCCCTGTAGCAAAAATGATGTAGATGATTTAAAACAAAGTATGCCTCAAAGGGACTGTTCCTAAAACCTGAGCAAATTTACTCAAAAGCACATTACAATTTTATAGATAATATGTCGGACCTTACAGCAACCGTCCCTAAGCGATTTCTGTGACACCCGATTTTTAATTATTAATAGTAATAATATTTCATACGAACAAAATATTTGGATAAAAATTCGATATCCTTATGATACATTCAAACTATTTTTGCTCACTGCAGCATCGAGCAGAAGATATTGCTGAAAAATTTATAAGCGGCTTGCCAGCTAAAAAAGAAAGTTTGTAAGCTCACGAGTCTACAGGGTTTTTCTTAGCCTGATTTATATGTGAAATATTTTCGGGTGAAGATGGAACCGCAAGTTGACACGTCTTGTGGTCAGGCCAAAAGATAATAACACAGCACATGTGAGCCATTCGTACTGTCAGGACCTTCCACTCCTCTTTGGGGTGGGACTCACAATATTTCCCTGGACCTTCGTTTTGCTGATTTTTCACACTTGCTTGGCCCTTCAACAGCAACAGCTGGCCCTCTGCTGCTCCCTCTTTTTTATTATTAACTTTTCCGTTCCGATTTTGGTCACGTTTGATAAGCTTCAACTAATAATTCACGAATGGACAGCTGTTGCTACTGCTCCTGCTGTTCGGCGATGATTTTTAAATATGATTTGAATGAGTTTATAAGTTTGTTTATTTATTTAATGTGAGAGCCACATAAACGGAGCGATTTCTCCCCTGAGGGTGGTTTTGCTTTAACTTCGGATTGATTGATGTCCTTCCGCAGACAATCATTAGCTCCGAGTTGTCGATTCTCTTACCCTCTTAAAACCTCCAACCTGCCACGCCCCCTTCAACTGTGAGTGGCGTTGACAGCTTGCCAAATTGTCTGCTGAAAATTCGTCTTGAACTGCAGACATCGTCCCATGACCATGACGCATCATTAGCATCCAAGTCTTCCAGTATATCATCTATTTAGCTGCCAAGGAATTTTATTGGGTGCCCTATGAGATGTTATATATGAAATACACATCGATAGTTTATATTACTTTCACCATACTGTGTATTTAGGACCTAAGCACTTCCTATATGCTAATGTAAAATGTAAAGTAAATATTTTATTTAGAACGTTCATAAAGAATTACTTACACTCGCAATCTTTGGAATGGGAGCATTCTGAAATTTTGGACAATATGTAGGAAACAAGCTATTTGTTGGTTGATATTCTTACTTAAAGGTGAATCTATTACTAAAAGGTCACCTGGAGTTCATTTTTAATTAAGTTAATACCAATTTAATAGAATGTAAGTGCATACTTACAGAACGGCGGCACCCAAATAGAATTTGCCATACTGAACATGAAAAATAAATAAAATTTACAGAAATACATGTTTTTTGAATGCAAAAAACTTCACAGAAATGTGGATTATTTAGTTGGATTTAAAATATTTAGAAAATTCTTGTCAATGTGGTTTTCTAGGAAGCAAAATGCTCAAAAACACCTTAGCCTTTTAATTGACCACTTTATACAAAATCAAGCCCTACAGAAATTAGTTGTTTAAATGACCAAATAGTGCAAACGAATCCATTGGGCACAGTTAATTTATTTATGATGTATCGAATTAGTTTTTTCCCTAATTATGGTTTGGACCAGTTACTTGGATATCCTCTCCTTGATGACAATCTGCTATTTATTTATTATTTAAAATGTGAAATTATATTTAAATGAAAAAATGTAAAATAAAGAGGTTACCACGAATTGCATGCCACGTTTGACATAGAATTATTCAAATATTATAGTGGGTACAATATGAGTTTACCAAACGGAAGAAATCATTCGTGAAAGACCAAACAAAAAAAAACATAGCTAGATAAAAACTTTATACAATTTATATTTTAATTACAGTCAAGCTTACTTTTACTGAATTGTTTGGCTTTGTATACCTTCGAAGTAACTTAATATGTTTGTTGTCGTTTTGTAATTTATTTATTTATTTTCTTTGCAAATTTTGTTGAAAAATAAAACTCGAATGCTTTAAACAACTTATTAATGATATGTTGGATGTTGGTCTACCAAATTTACCGTAGGTTCCAAAATGAGCGATATTCATCGAACACACCAGCTTCAGGATTGTAAATGTTGGTATTAAACCAGAAATTATCCAAAAAATTGGTATATTTTCATGGGGGTAGAGCGAATCCATTAAATACTCGTCTAATTTTAAAATCGGTCGTATCCAACTCGGTCTCATTCCTTGAAAATAACCCACAAGCGTCATCAGTCGTGTGAAGATGAAGGTGGGCGGCAGTTTGAAAATCCTCACTTTGCTGACAGTCGTAGTTCCACAACTTTCGCTCGTCACTGGAAACTCTACGGTGGTGGTAACCCAGGAAAACGTGAACGGATTTATCGATTCCAATGAGTTGGTGTTGCTCAGTTTTTATGCGGAGTGGTGCCGTTTTAGTAAGATTTTGGAACCTATTTTCGAGAAGGCGGCGGCGCAGATTCATCAGAAATTCCCCGAACCTGGCCGTGTGATCCTGGGAAAAGTAAACTGCGACAGAGAAGAAATACTGGCCGACCAGTTTGGTATAATTAAGTATCCGACGATAAAGATCGTCAGGAATGGATTGGTTGGCAACCAGGAGTACCGTGGCCAGAGATCTTTGGAGGCCTTTGTGCAGTTTGTGGAAAAGGAGCTATCGGATCCAATCAAGGAGTTCCACTCAATCGACGAGCTGAAGAGCGCCGACGTGGGCCATGGTATGGTTATTGGATATTTTATTTCGAAGGACCACGTCGAATACGATACATATCGCAGGGTAGCGAGCCTAATGCGTAACGACTGTAGGTGAGTTCAGCCAACTAAATAATTATAATTTTGAAATCTGTTTTTCCATTTTCATTTGATCAGACACTTAAAAAACTTGTGCTATACATCGCTTATTCATTACCGTAAATTTTTATTTGGGAAGACAAAAATAACATATTGCGCAAACTTTTTTTCAAAATTAATTTAATCGTGTTATTATTTTTTAAAGAACTTAGAAAAAGGGATCTTAAAAACTTTTATGATGGTATATAGTAATGTAAAAATATTGTCACTACAAAAATTACAACTTACCCCCAACCTTAAGGCCACTTCACTATTTTTTCCCAAACAAGTTTGATTGAGTTCTGAATTTATTGATACTAATGTAAATTACAACATATCCATACATACACAATTGATTTAAATACATATTTATTGTAATATTTTCAACACCCTTTTTTAACAGGTTCCTTGTGGGCTTCGGTGACTTGACTAAGGATCTTCGACCACCTGGAAAGAACACCCTGATCTTTCGAGGTGATCCCTCGATTCCAAATCCCAAGAACGCATACAGTGAGTACCAGGGCAACATGACCAGCTTTACAAATCTGACCGCATGGGTTGACAAGAAGTGTGTGCCGCTGGTTCGAGAAATTACATTCGATAACGCCGAAGAGCTTTCCGAGGAGGGATTGCCATTTGTATTGCTGTTTTACAACAAACACGATTTGGATCCCATCCAGGAGTTCAAGAAGGCAATTCATAGCCAGCTAGAGAATGAGACGAGGGTAAATTTCCTGACTGCTGAGGGAAAACTATTCAAACACCCGCTCTACCATATGGGCAAGTCCCTGGATGATCTGCCAGTAATCGCCATCGATTCTTTCATCCACATGTACCTATTTCCGCGGTTCGAGGATATTCACCGGCCCGGCGTCCTCAAAAAGTTCATAGATGATCTGTTCAACGGATCCCTCCATTTTAATTTCCACTTAGCGCTTGAGGATGATGAAAAATCTGAGTCTACGATCGATCCCGTTCAACTCCCTCCGGTTGTTCACGAATCCAAGTTTAAGGAACTTATGCCCTCGAAACACCGCTATACTCTGATCAACAGTACTAGAGACGAGTTGTAGGATCAGTTAAAAATATGTTTTCCCTCGTCTTAAAATTTTGTTCATTTATCATTTAACCTTCTTTGGTAACTTGAGCTTCAAGTAATGCTTTTTAATAAAATACAAATAAAATAGTGTTAGTAAACACACTTTTAAAAGGATATAAAATTTAAAATATGAGAGCTACTTAAATAAGAATACTTAACCCCTTTTCAGATATTAAAACACTTGTTTAAGATATCCTGCTTAAAAATAAATTATGTTGTGTTCATAAATTCCTAAAAATTAACATTAATGGTATAAGGAAATTAAAATAGTTGATATAAACACTTTAAAAACATATTAATGGTAATTTGCCATAGAATACAAAAGCGGTCCTAGGCTATGACGGTAAATATTTTCACAAGCCACTTGTCCAACATTGAATGCCCAATTTTGGACGCTGTGACAAATCGAACACCCATCAGATATGGACATCTCATCAGACAGTCCAAGAGATGACACGTGCCTTGATATGGATATTTCTTGGAAGACCGTTTCCATCCAGAGCAGGAAAGTCGATTTCATTTGAATATGCCTTGCAGACTGCTCTAAGGAATACCATATAAATACTAATAAACTCATTAGTCAAGCATCTCACAAACAAATCTCACAGGCGTAGAATACCAGTACAGTGTGGAAATCTGGATGACATACAGCTCAAACTTAAATATACATTTAGGTGATTGCATTAAAGTAATTCAAAAACTGCATTTATCTAATTTTTTCTAAGCATGCAAAAAGTTTTTAATATTTATAAAATGATTTAGTTAGTCATAAAAGCCTAACACAAAAATAAGAGTTAAATATAAATAAAATACAAAAATAATAAAACGAACATAAGTTTACAAATGTATTTTTCATTTGGTATTAAGCCTAATATCTTAAAACAAATATATTACAAAGTATCGGTAAAACCACACAAGGCTTTTAAATTAAATCAAGGAATGCAGTATTTTAAAAAACTTTAAAAATAAATATCGATGGAACGCAGAACCTTAGCATTTTATCTATTTGCTTACCACAGTAAGGTCTTGAATGGAAGTCTACTCGAAGATCTAGTTCAGAAACAGAATGTAATATCCTCGAGGGAGTGTCGCCGCACTCCTTTTCCGTGTCGTACCCCGGAGCGAACACTTTTACTCCAATATTGTCATAATTAATAATATCTTTATGGTCATATGCCAGCGGACAAACGAGCGTGACTCGAGATGAAGTATCTGCAACTGCGGCGAGTGCAGCTGCAGGTGCAACTGCCTCTAATCAGCGTCAGCAGCGCGTGCCACTCGCGTTGTCACCTGCACAATTATAGAATTTTCCATAGTCGGGCAGCGCTGGTCACCAAAATGGCCAGGTCCCAAAATGGTGTCCCGGCAAGAGTCCGCGCGAAGTGTCCGCCATAAATAACTGCCAATAAATGTCAACGGTTTTGGCGCATTAACATAACGACTAGGCCGAATTCGTTGACAGCTGACTGCTTTTTCTTGGTGGCTTACCTGGGCAGCATCTTCCATCCATCTATCCACTGGCATCATTATTTCTCGGGCCACAATTGAAATAATCGCCTTTTAATCGCCTACGCCTCGACGGACTGACTTGGCTCCAATTACCGCTGCAATCGTTAACTCTTCATGCTGACAGCCGAGTTGGCCAAGAGCCTCATCAATTGCCACTGGGATCATCAGGGCGATCGACAATACTACATTCGCGGAAGTCACGTGCGGAAGTTTTAAAACTTTCTCAGTGTTGGCCGATAAACATGCGAGTTCTAAATTAAGGCTGAAAAAACATCCGCTTACAATTTACGTACTGGTTTTTTTGGGGAATTAACCTAGTTTTAAAGGTGGTTTAATTTTGTTACATTACACCGTTATTAGAAAAGGGAGATGATCAAATAAAATCGTACTCGTGTTAAGAAAATTTTAAAAAAGTAGCTTTATCTAGTTCACCATCAGAGGATAAAAAAGCTTATATTGCGTTTGTTGATAAGTTAAATAATAAAAAAATATTTTTCTTTTAAAAGAAAAAACTTAAATCTAAAATATCAGTGATGATACAGATATATACTTACTGAATTTTGCTATAAAACCCCTTTCTTTTCCAGATTTCTCTTTGGCTGATGAGGCAGGCAATGAAAAATTCAAATTGACCTAGCTGACGGGAGTCTCCCAGATAATCCAGGTTCAGTTTCCAATGCGCTCCTACTTAAGCCCCAAAAAAACCATAAAGCCCAACGAAACCCCGGCTGACAATTACAATGGCAATTTCCAGTGGTCAAGTGTGTGATATTTCAATTAAAACTTAACGGCGCAAGTCATTAAACGGCAGATACAACTTGTACAGCAATCGGAGGGAAAACAAGATGCCGCAAAAAGCGCAAATGTCGCAGCAGACGGGCAAAAATCGACAGAAACAGCAGAAATATCGGCGGCAGCGACCGTTTGAGAGAGCTCAACATATTCAAAGTTGTGCACGAGCGCGATTCCAATTTCATTTTGTGCTCGGCGACGGGGCAAAAACCATTTGGCCAGCAACAAATGGAAAAAACACAAACAAAACGTTTTTGTTTAATTAAATTAACAAAATACGCGTCGGATGAGCGGCTAAAAAACTCGGTTATTTTGCACGCAGGCCAGCACGCCAACACGTGTTGCGGAATTGGCCAAAAGAGAGGGACTGGCTCGAAGCCTGCTCTTAAGGCATGTTGTGTCCCGCTTCCACTGGCTGCCTGAGTGGCTCCATCTCACTCGAGACACCATTCAGTTGGTGGCCACTCGCTCGCTCGCCATGAATTTGTGGCTCATGCGCCCTGTTGTCTCGCTCTGCGGCACTCGGCCAACCCGTTCTGGCCAATCGGCAAAAAGCGGTCGAAAAACAGGCGGAGCCTCTCCGGACCCTCGATGCATCTCGACCGGGTCGGGAGCCCTAAGCCCTGGCCAAAAGCCCAAACCCCAAAGCCAGGCCATAAACCAACACCGAGACCCTGCCCCTGCGCCATTGCAGCTGTCTGGAGAGTCTGTCAACCATTTGGCGTCCATGACCAAGCATGACGGCTATCTGGGCCCTGTTTCTGGTACCTCTGCTTCTGCTTCTGCTTCTGACTTGGCCACTACTCTTCAGCTTGCTGGCTGGCATTTTGACATTTCGCTCCGAGGCTTCTGGAGTCGGTGGCGCCGCACTGCAGCATCTGCAGCCACATCAGTTATCTGTCCCGCTGCGGTTTGCGGCGATAAATGTGCGCCATCATGCAACTGGATGCGGACTTTGCATTGCGGTCTTGGTGCTGCAATTCGTGCAACTGTGTTCCCCAAAAAAAAAATTACCCAAAAATAACAAGCCTTCTGTGAAGGGTTTGTAAATAAATTGTAGGCTTTGTAGGTCTTTAATTAGGTTAACCCCAATGTACAATGAAGAAATATATTTGCGAGATCAAAAACCACTTTGGTTCTGCATTATAAGATAATAGTTCATTCGTTTTGGTTTTATTCTTAGATTTAAAGCTGTTATATAATTGATAATTGAGAAAGAAATCATTAATATTAAAGTAATCAAGAAAGGATTATAACTTCAGCAAACCGAAGCTTAAGCCGTATCACTCATTTAAAATCAAAGGTGCATTACAGAATCATTATATCCGAAGAATTGCGTGTGAAAATCCCATTGACAACTATATCATATAGTCAACCAATTTTCATAAAAAATAATTTAATTTCTGAACTATTAAAAAAACGCTATACCCCACAGTAAAGAAGAATATGATTAAACGAAAATTTTATTTTTATACCCGTTTCTCAATCGCCCATAACGCTAAAGTCTGTCTGGCGCTCACATTTTTGAAGATTTTTTTTCAGTGTAAATTCTAATTGACTTTATTGATCCATACCTGAGAATCATACCAGTCGAATTGTTATTTCACATGTTATGCCTAACTAGGTTCCGCTAACTCCGCTAGGTTCGTGGCGCTGGTATTGGTGATGTATTCCGCGCCATAAAAGTACCCTGAAATTGTATGTTACTTGAAATTTAAATCAGAGTAACGGGTATATGAAAGACGACGCCGCCCACCTTAGCGTTCTTTCTCATTTATTGCAGCTGAATGATGTAGTCGATCAATTAAAAAAACAATTTTATTACAACTTTGGAAGTCGTTAAAACAAGAAAGAAAGTTAACTTCGGCAAGCCGAAATTTGTATCCCCTTGCAGTTATAATTATTAAATTTATTTCGAAATACTTAAAAATACAAAAAATGATATTCCTAATAGTATAAAATAATATGTCAAAAAACACTGAAGCTATAATTTGTTTCATATTATTTCCCCACCAATTTTCCGATCGTTCCTATGGCAGGTATATGATATAGTCGTCCGATTGTGATAAAACTAAATTCGGAATTATATACTACCTGCAAAAGAAAGAAGACATTTGAGAAGGTTTCAGCCCAAAAGCTTTAAAACTGAAAGACTAGTTTGTGTAAAATCGGAAGGACAGACGGGCATGGCTAGATCGACTCGTCTAGTGATGCTGATCAAGAATATATATACTTTATGGGGTCGGAAACGTCTCCTTCACTGCGTTGCACCCTTCTGACTGAAATCATTATACCCTCGGCAAGAGTATAAAAAAGAATTATCCTAGAGTAGAAATGATCAATTATGATCAATATCGACGAAGCTACTGTAAAGTAGGACTTAGTTGTCCGATCAGCCTTGTTCCGAATTTTATACGACCAAAAGCTTTAAACCTGAGAGCCTAGCTTGCATATAAACGGAAAAGCGGACAGACTAATCGACTAATTTAATGATATGTACTTTATAGGGTTTCCTTCACTGCATTGGACAATTCTAACCGAAAACTTGATTCCCTTTTCAAGGGTATACACATTCAAATTTAAATTATCATATTAGTATTTTAAAAAATACAACAGAATTGGATTAATTTTTAAGATTTAAGACAATGCATTTAAAAAACAAAAGTGCTCCAACGTACAACTAAATTACTCTTTAGTGAAGAAAGCATTAGTTATGTTATAAAAAATCGTATTTTAATAAAATGTATAACGGCTGCGCGCTTTTTAAAGAGAATATACATTTAGCCTTTGCTGAAACAAAAAACAATGCTTTAATAAATAAAACAAATATATTCCATATATCACTCGAACTATGAAAACTTAAGCTATTAAGGGGCTCTTTTAAATTATTTTAATTACATTTAATTGTATTCATCATACCTTATAATTTAGGAAATTTAATATAAAAGGCTTTATTTTAGGTTATCTTTATAAAAATGATTTATATGTGTACAATGTACATATATATACTACCGGATTTTACATATTTAAAACATCTCTGCCTAATAGTCCAATATATTTTAAGAACAATTAATAACTTTTAAATTTTATTGTGCTTTAAGTTGTATTGTTCCAGAAAATATAGCACCCAATAAATTAAAGTACCTACTCACAGCCCTAAGCCATAGCTCTCTTTTTGGAGTAATTATTATACATGGTAATTTCGGCAAGTCGATGTTTTAATATCCCTGCCGATTTTTGAAATTACTAAATCAAACTTTATCAGTTCGTTCAAATGGGAGATATGGCAGTAAGATCAGCAACGTGAACATATTTATAAAAATACCATAAATTGAAATCAATAGTTTTAAGCTTGGCATGTAAAAAGTTGAAAAAGAAAGGCGAATGGATTTGGCAGTGGTGGATCCAGAATTTGGTTGTTAAAAATTTAGAAAAAATACATATTACAAGTACTTTTTAGCCCCAGTGGATCTGCGCACATGGACTTGTCTTCTGACATGATCAAGGATGTAGGATCAAAAACATCGCATTCACAGCGTTACAAACTTCTAACCGAAATGATAGTACCCCCTGCCAGGGTTTGAAGCACCATTCTGCTCATTTGATGAATAATTTACGCAGTCCGCCGCTTTCGGTTATCTCCGCGCCATCACTCAAAATGGCTGGTGGCATGCAAATACAAAATGGCATTGATGACAGTGCAAACAAGGGCGGCGACAGTCGAAGCCGATAACAAAATTTGTGCTGCACTCAGCCAAATGAAAATCCACACGAAAGGCGCATAAAATGGCAGCCAGAACAAATGGGGCCATAAAAAATATGTGATTGCGGCGGGCGGGCAATTAGGTGAAATAATCAAATTAGCTGATAAACCGAAAGGGAAACTGCCGGACATTAAATTCACCGCCGGCTGAAAAAGCACGATCGCTAAATGAAGCAATTTCCCAGTGATTCGAGTATGGAAAAGCGAGCTACATTGTTGCCAATGGGAACAGACATGCCTGGCATGCCACCGCGGTGGTGCATTAAGTTCTGGGTCCCCAGGTGGACGGGCCAATTGCATTGATTAACTAAATAAACGGCCTTCCCAGGCAGCACTTGCATTTTAATTTCATTTATTTCGACCTTTTTCCCCGAGGAACTGCAGTTGCAGTTGTCACAGCCAAAATCTGCTGCCTTTTTCCCACCCGCCGGCGACACATGTCGTGCCCATAAAAAATGCCTTGTCAGAGGTTCGAAAAAGAAGTAAAAATCTAAAAAAATATATGTAGGGAACGGCTGGCAAAAAAAGATGCCAATCCAGGGGCGAGCAGGGCAAAAAGAAATAAACCAAGTGCTCCAATAAAAATTCCACCGCCTTCGCCCGCATGCCGGCCTGCTCGCACACTCTCGCCCTCTCTGTCTCGCTCACTCTCTTTTTTAGCCCGCTTTTATTGTTTTTTTAAGAGCGCATCTCGGCTTTTTCCCAACTTGCTCTTGAGCTTGGTTTACATTGCGTATGAGTGAAATTTTTTCAGAGCCGCCTCGCCACCGCGCTTGAAATGAATATGTGCGATTATTGGCCGCAAAAAGCGTGTTTCGTTTTTGCCACTGACTTTGGCAGTTTTTGCGGATTTTTAATTTGAATATTACATGTATTAAAAACTCATTACTACGCGTGGTTCGCCATCGAAGTTGGTCAATGGGCTAATGGTCGGCGGATGCGATTTTTTGTCTTTCGCCGTGTGTCTTTTGCGGAAAATTATGCATTTGGGATCGGAACGAATGCATTAAATATGTATTCTTGTCTTCATTTTGGCAGGAAATTAGCCAAGCGGTAGAGGTATCTCAATGGGAAAAATTCCACAAAGGAACACATTTACAAATGATTTACCTTAAATAAAATTGATTACTTATTAAATGGGAAAAATTCCACAAGGGAACACATTTACAGATTTATTTATCTTAAATAATATTGTTTACTTATTAAATCTTTCATTTAAAAAATTAAACAATATTAAGGTTATAACAAAAGAAGGAAATAAATTTCAGAATAGAAATAATAATAATAATAGAATAATAATAAAGCGTTTTTTTAAATTTTTAATGGGGAATTTGTTAAAATATATTTAACATTTTTCTCTACTCTACTTCTACTCTTTTTTAACTACTCTTTAACTAATCTATAATATGACTAATTATAATAATAATAATATTTGTTTTCTTATTTCAATGAAATATGGTATATCTTGAATCTTGAATATATCTTTAAAAATATCTTAAGCTCTATAAAACAATAAAAAAATTAACCAGTTTCTAAAAAAAGATTGCTTATGATCCTTAAGAAACAGCTGGG